TTTATCATATTTGTTTGTTGTCGGGACTATTTTTTAATTGTGCTAACAATGGAAGCTGCCTTGATTGCAGTGGCAAAAGGTGGGGTAAAAAAATAAAGTTTTATTATTATTATTATTATTATTATTATTATTATTATTATTATTATTATTAACTACAATTCCCAGGATTCCTGAGCACTGAGCCAGGGCAGATAAAGTGGTCTCAAACTGGATTATTTCTGCAGTCTGTTTTGGACCTATGACTCTGGAGATCATAGTTCAATTCCCCATTAGACCATGGAAACCCAACAAGTACCTTGGGAAAATCACACTCTCTCAGCCCCAGAACTATGATAGGGTCACCTTAGAGTCACCATTAAGTTGGAAATGACTTGAAGGCACGCAAGAAGAAGTAGAAGGACAAGAAGAAGAGCTGCTGCTGCTGCTGCTGCTGCTGCTGCTGCTTGTGTTCAAAATCCACAAAATACTGATACAGTGGGCCCCTTGGTATCCACTGCGGTGGATACCAAAATCTGTGGATGCTTGAGTCCCATTATATATAATGGCATAGTAAAATGGTGTCCCTTATATAAAATGGCAAAATCAAGGTTTGCTTTGTGGCATTTATATTTTCTTGGAATATTTTCAAGCTGTGGTTGAATCCATAAAATATCCATGGATATGAAGGGCCAACTGTACCTTTATTTGGACAATCAAAATACACAAAATATATGATGCAAACTTTCAAAGCTCCACTTTGAAGCTCAAGTGGTACATTGTAAGCTTGCATCATGTACGGTATTTTGTGCATTTAAACTGCAGCAACTATAGGACCATAGCACTGATCTCCCACGCTAGCAAAATCATGTTCAAAATTTTGCAACTTAGGGAAGTTGCAGATTGCCAGAAATAGTGCAAATTGAGTCCATTTTTAGGGTTAGAGTTAGTGCTAGGGAATCATGGGACTTGTTTTTTTTCTAAGACATTGAGCCTTCTCTGTCAGAGAGCTCTGGTGCCACAATAAAATACAGTTCCGATGTCCCTAACCCTAACCCTAAAAGTGAACTCAATTTTCACTATTTCTGGCAGTCTGCAACCCCCTCAAACCACACATGGAGAGAGTAATCCCAGAGGTTCAAGCAGGGTTCAGGAAAGGAAGAGACACTAAGTACAAGATTGCAAACGTACAATGGCTAATGGAGTGCACCAGGGAATTAAAAAAAATCAACAGCATGTGCTTTGTAGACTATAGCAAAGCCTTTGATTGCATAGATCATGAAAGGCTATCAGAACAGAACACGGAGAAACAGAATGGTTCCCAATTGGCAAAGGAGTCAGACAAGGCTGTATCCTTTCACCATATCTGTTCAACTTGTATGCAGAACATATTATAAGAAAAGCAGGCCTGACACAGAAGAAGGAGGAGTGAAAATAGGAGGAAGGAATATCAACAATCTAAGATATGCAGATGACACCATAATAGTAGCAGAAAACCTCACAGACCTAGAACACCTACTAAGGAGGATCAAAGAAGAAAGTGCACAGGCAGGCTTAATGCTGAACATAAAGAAAACAAAAATAATGACCACCGAGGACCTTCACAAGTTCAACCTAGACAATGAAGAAATAGAAACAGTAAAATAATTCCCATACCTGGGATCAAACATTGATAGAAATGAGGACTGCAGACAGGAAATCAGAAGAATATTAAGAATGGGGGGTGGGGGTGGGGTGGCTATGAAAGAACTAGGAAAGATTCTAAAATGCAAAGCTATCCAACTGAGCACAAAACTTAGAATCATAAAAGCCATTGTATTCCCTATTACCATTATGGATGTGAGAGCTGGACTGTTAAGTAAGATGATAAGAAGAAAATCAATTCATTTGAGATAATGTGGTTCTGGAGAAGAGTGCTGAGGATCCCATGGACAGCCAGAAGGACAAACAAATGGGTCCTAGAGCAGATCAAGCTGGAAACTTCCCTGGAAGCCAAGATGACCAAACAGGAGTAGTCAGCAGAAACAAGATGACCAGACTGTTGTACTTTGGACACATCATGAAAAGGAAGGACTTATTGGAAAAAAACAATAATGCTGGGAAAGGTGGAGGGAGGGAGGAAGAGAGGAAGGCCACATGCCAGATGGATGGACTCTATTAAGGAGGTCATGGTATTAAAGGGTTGCAGGAATTAAGCAGAGGAGTGAAGGATAGAGGGTCTTGGAGATATCTCATCTGTTGGGCCGCCATGAGTCGAGATTGAGTCAAGGGCAGTTAACAACAAAGTCGGCTGAATAAATGTATCACTGGTTTGTGGATTTGGGATGTTATTGTACTGTGCTATATGGCCAACCTGGCTACCTCTGAATATGTTATATAAGTATTGACACATCAAATTCCCATGTCCTCATTGATTCAATCAGTCTACTCTGTCAAGCACTAACAACTGGACTGAAGCTTTGGATTCATGTCACAACTGAATAATTCTTCTTTCTCAACCACCCCTTCCAGCTTCTTGCACCTTTCTCAATTCATACAGTTGTTCCCAAAATATTCTGTATATACTGTGATTTTTCTCCAACAAAGTATTACGGTAGATTGTTTATTTTTCTTATCTTTTCAACACTTTCTCAACACTTGCATGTTATTGTGCATCTAGAGAATTGTCCTGCCTTTGCTATGCTAAGCACTCAATCACCCAAGTTTTCTATTAGAGGGAATGATGACTGGGTGTAAAAGGAAGGTGTATATCAAAACAACCTGCAGGTGCTTCTCCACCTTTCCATGCTTGGTTTTTTGTTTTTTTTGTTTTTGTTTTTTGTTTTGGAGTGTAGAGAAACACGCACACATAATGCCATGACTCTAGTCTTGAGAGAAGCATCAAGGGAACATTTTGAGTTAAGAGTTGAAATTAAACGGAAAGGGGGAAGGAGCAGCAATCTGACAACTTGTCCTTGCAAAACATTTTTGGCTTCCTCACCTCACAGATCGCACCTCTCTTTTCTCTTGCTGCAGTCACAGCCTGCTGAGGTATTCTAAAGTAAGAAAGTCACCTTAGCATTTTGCAATCTAATCATTCCCAAGAGTAGTCAGCAGAAAACAAGAATGCTTTCGCAGGTGCCACATGTTATGGACTTACAGCAGCTTACAAGATTTGCTTCTGGGGCCATTTACCCTAAATCAGTGAGAAAAGCCAGTGGCCAAAAAGGGAAGAACAATTAGCCTAAATTTCATGGCACATTGTTTTGTAACATAGCATAAAATAAACTCTGGAGAGGCAGGAAAATTAATATAAGTTAGTTAATGCATCTAATTTTTTCCATAAGCTTAAGAAATTCAAATTCTATCACATTTACATTAGACATGGGGAAAATAACTTACGTTTCTGTTTAATTACCATTAGGCAATTAACCAACAAGCCTACAATAAAACTCTTATCAAAGCTTAAACTGAAAAATGTCATTGGTTTCACTCAGCCATCCCCACCTTGTTCCTGTCTTGTGCGTGACAGAAAAGGAAACAATGCCTGAACTTTTGAAAACCTCATTTCTCATCCATCACACCCCCAACTGTTCTCTTAAAGTGCATTTCTCCCTCCTTTTCAATTTCATCTCCTTAACCTCCCTCTTTCTGCAGCTTACTGATTCTCAACTGGATCTCAGAAAAAGTCCCAGGGATAAAAGCAGTTGAAACAGATGAGGAGTCTGTATATTGAATTTGGTAGAGACCATAGGAGAACCACCTGGATACAAAAACATCCACCCCCTTCCAAGCATTCCTTACTACTTATTAGTTTAAAATCTTTTGACCTTGAAGTTAACTAAACCATCATGCTCTAGTCATGAACAAAATAAACAAAGATTCCTATAGCTATTAGCATTTATTAAAGAACCAGCTAGGCACTGTAAAAATTGGCTGCTCAGTATAGTCTCTTATTAAATTAATTAATGACATAATAAATTAATAATGGAATTATATTAATGCTGGAAGTCCACCTGAAGTCAAACAGCCATGTTAAATATAAATTTAATTAACCCCTTTTGTTAGAAAATGTCTTCTTAATTGATTTTAATCTGTTCTTATCACCACTCAGGATACAGATGGAGTCAAAGATAAACTTTAGAACCCCTGCTGAATTGGCAAGATCCAGTATGTTTCTGAATCTGATGTTGCCAAACCTAGTTTCTGTGCCAGCCCTAGAATACATATGAATTGGAAAACTGAGGGTGCGTCTACACTGTACAAATAATGCAGTTTGACCCCACTTTAATTGCCATGGCTCCCTCTTAGGACTTGTATTTTTGTGAGGCACCAGGACTCTTTGGCAGAAAAGGCTAAAGACATTATAAAACTACAGACCCCAAGATTCCATAGGATGGAGCTACAGCGAACTGCATTATTATGTAGATACACCCTCAGTTAAAAAAATTGCTGGAAGCTGCAGAATTATAGTGCTGAGGCAAGGCTGCAAAAGAGGCAATGATGTGGCTAGCACAGAAGGACCATAATTGATAGTCCTATTCTGTAGACATCTCCATGCTTTGGCTCTAGGCTACTATTAAGTTCAATGGACAATTCAGGGCTGTAGACCGATCAAGAGATTGTTTGATTATGACACTCTATGGTGCTGGGAAGGGGAGAAAGTTGCACAGTTTCTTAAAAGAGGGTTTATAATGGGGACAAGGTTCATACCATCGAGCCTGTTGAGATACAAAACATTTTTTGCTAAAGACAGAAAGTACATTTTAAATAAAATAAAAGGAATATAGCTATTTTTATTTATGATTCTATATAACCAGAAAACTTATATTCCTAGTGAGTTGGATCAGAGCCAGTTCATTGGACTTTGGCCCCAGTGAAAGCCGTGTGAAAAGTCTGTAAAGTTTTGTTGTGTGCCTTCAAGTCTTCCTGGCAAGATTTGTTGGCAGGGTCTTCTTGGAAAGATTTGTTCAGAAGGGGTGTGCCTTTGCCTTCCTCTGAGCCTGAAAAGTGTGACTTGCCTAAGATCACCCAGGGGGTTTCTGTGGCCAAGCAAGGAATTGAACCCTGGTCTACAGAGGCTTAGTCCATTGCTTAAACCACTACACCACTCTGGCTCTCCAGTAATGCATACCCTCTAACATTTTACAGATGTAAACTGGTATATGTGTCTAAGCAATATCAGAATGTGTTCACTGTGGCAAAACTTATTACTGAGTAATAACACATAAGATAGGGGAAGCTGCAGCAGTTTGCTTTTGCCTGAGCCAACTGGGAAGGGCAAGAGTCTTCCTCCTTTTTCCTCCCTTGTTGAGTTAGTTAAATGCAAAATACTTTTGTACTTTGAACAAGCTGAAGACAAACAAGGCAAGTGGGAGGAGAGAGAAGCTGGGACATTTTAAAAGCAGCAGGAAAAGTGGAATTACAGAGGGTTAATCAGGACTGACTCTTCTCAGTTGGGATATTTGGAGGGTATGGCAATGATTAATTTAAAAGGTACTGATTTCAATGGAAACATTGAGTGATGTATATTATTGCTTATTTCATTCTTGTAGGCAAGGATGAAATGTTTCAAGGGTTGTTCTGCCTGCCAAGTGAAACTATGATAATTTTTGTGCTCTTTAAAAATGATTTCAATACTTTTTTTTTTTGGTGAAATTTTCATGATATACATTTTCAGAAAAAAATATTTTGCATAAAGTGCATTATTTTACAAAAGGCATTGAACATTATCCCCCAAATGCCTGAAAAATACAAAATCTCACAGCAATTGACTTTTTCCCTTTTTTCCTAAGTGGTTTTTTTTTTTGATAAGTTGATATACTCTTATCTTGATAAGTTGATATAGAAGTTGTATTTATTTACATCTTGCCTTTCTCCCAATATGGGAACCAAGGCAGCTCAAAATATAAGTTAAAACAAAATACAGTTAAAATAATGGATAGTGCAAACATTTTAAAACAATTAAACAAAAAACAACATTAAGAATAGTAATTTAAAACAGGGTTAAAATGCTGCTAAAATGATAAAAATACAACATACATAAATTAAAAGACCATCTGCACCAGATTATTAACACTTAAATGCCTGAGTAAACAGAAGGGTCTTCATCTGCTGGTGGGGAGACAGCAGGGCCAACCTAGTTTCCTGTGGCAGGGAATTCCACAGTCTGGGAGTTGCCACCAAGAGGGCCCTATGTCATATCTTCACCAAACTGATGCTGGTGGGAGTGAGAGAAATCCCTCCCCTGAGGATTTTAAAACATAGGCAAGCATATAGCTGGAGATAGCCAGATAGTCTCAACCCAACCCTTTCTTAGTAAAGATGTGAAAAAATGTCAAGAGCTTAACCAACAGTTTTGCAACAACACAAAATCCTCCATGTGCTTATGAAATATCATTCTTTAAAAGTCATTCAGAAGTAATGCAATGAAATCTTTGGTGGAAGACACTCTGCCAGGGATTGTGGTTGTGGTTGTGGTGGAGGAGGAGGAGCTAATCTGTAATTGTAATGCTATTTTTGCCTCCACGAAAAAACAGCAACAACCTGCCACCAAGGAAATAGTTCTGCTATGCTACTGCATAGCAATGCAACTCTGTTCCAGCCGCTATTACAAAATTCACAGGATAATGAATTGAATTTTTCCCCTTTGACAGTGTACAAAGTCCTCTGCTGACAATGATGCATTCAATTTAGGTTTATACAGCTTGGGCACCTGGAACAATGTACAAATATGTTGGATCATCTGTGCAGCATCACTGCATAGTCTGGATGTTTTCATCTTCAGGCTCCGATTAGATGAGAGAGGAAGGGGAGAGGGAATAGTACAGTCCCAAAATAAATATAACATTGCATTGGACTGCGACTCTGGAGAACAGGGTTTGAATCCTTTCCTGGTCATGGAAACCCACTGGATGACCTTGGGCAAGTCACCCTCTCTCAGCCCCAGAGGAAGGCAAAGGAAGACCCCTCTGAACAAATTTTGCCAAGAAAACCCCATGATAGGGTTTTCTTAGGGTCACCATAAGTCAGAAACAACTTGAAGACACACAAGTAAAATGTGCTCCATTTGTAGTTAAATATAACTGTCTAAATCCAACTGTTAACTGCAGTGATCTTAGACCAGGGGTCGGCAACCTTTTTTGGGGCGGGACAGGCCCCCCCATCCCCCGATGCCCCCTGGGCTGCAGTGGTGCATGTGCGCATGCATGCGCACACTACCAGGAGGGCTCCTTCGACCGGGCCAGGCCTCCAAGAGGCCCTGTGTGGCCGTGGGGGTCCTCCGGGGTGGGAAAGGTCTCCCGAGACTCCGGGGCACCATTTTTTAATCCAAAATGGCACCCCAGAGGACCCCTGAGGTTGCGAAAGGCAGCGGCAGCAGCAGCAGGATCGGGCAGGGGCACGGGCCTTAGGTTGCCGACCTCTGTCTTAGACTCACAAAATCAATCCCTTCCCAGTTGGCTCAGGCAAAATCAATGGGAAATGCTGATTCAGCAAATGATTCCCTGTGTGTAACTGGATTTAGACTAGTGGCATACAAATTTATGCTTGGTATTAAAAACAAGTTTAAAATGTGTTAATGCAGCATGCTTGCAAGGGCTGATAAAATGACACTTTAGCGATCAAGCATTCAGGAAGCAGAACAGTTTTCTTAATAAAAAGATACAGCAGCTGCACCCCATTCAAGTCCTACTGCTGGGCAGCTTCATGGTGGATTAATTTTAAATACAGTGGACAAAATAATGCTTTGCACTATTTTAAACAAAATAGTGTTTATAATAATGTTTATAAGGATTTTATTTTTTTTACTTGTTACATTACTGTGGTGCTTTAATTGTGTTTTAAAATTGTATTCTTTTATTACTGTTGTTGTTTTTTAGCATCTTTTTTGAACTGCTTCGAGTCTAATTTGGAGGAAAGGCAGTATATAAATAAAATCAATTAAAAATAATAGGCATGGCTGTCTGGGTTCCTATTCACTTGTAAATGATCGCGTAGTCTTTTTGCTCCCAGATACAGGTTACCTCCTTTTCTTTAGTGTAAAGTTAGCCAGTTGCTAGTCATGCAAATAGGTCTGAAAGGTGCATGTTTCAAAGGAACTAGTGTAATGGCTACGAACATCACAAAAGTCAAGTGGCCCCATAAAGAATCAACAGCAACAAAAAGCAGTGTTACCATCTTGCAGAGTTCCTAAGATCAAGGTGCCAAGTTCATGACTTACCTCACCCTCCCTCTCAGCTTTCCAACAGTATATTTGTGATGCAGATGAATGTCCTAGGCCTTTTCTGTTAAAGGGAGATGCTTGGGGAACAATAGTGTCACCCCCTTATGGTGTCACCTGGTGTAATCTGCACCCCTCATACCCCCCTGGTGACAGCACTGGGTGAAATTTGAACTGTTAGGTTTATATAAGCTTCTTCTTTGCTCCTAACGTTTCTCCTGATAAGCTGCATCATAGAATCTTCTATCATCACTATAGCTCTTTTCATGTATGCAGTTAACAAGGTTATTTAAGGGGTAATTAATAGGCTATTCATCTCTAATCACCCACCCACACTCATTAGCAAGAGGTAAAAAAAACCTACAAGGACAAAAATTTAATTAACATTTTACTTCAAATATTTGTTACTGAGCATTAAAAGGAAATCTTGGTTCCTAAGAAGGACACTTCTGGATAATACAGCAGTAATTTACAAGAAAGCATTGATCATCAAGGGCTTAATTCAGGGGTCGGCAACCTACGACCCACAGGCCGCACCTGGCCCACCGAGGCCTGCCAACCGGCCCCCGCCGACCTCCGTCACCGCCACCACGCGCGTCACGACCTCCATTTGTTTTCCAAAATGGCAGCCGTGGCTCATTCAAGCATGCACAGGAGTACTACGCATGCGCAAACAAGTCGCAGCCACCATTTGGGAAAACAAAATGGTGGCCGCAATGCGCACGGTGGTGGTGCGGTGGCAGCACGCATGGCAGCGGTGGGGGCAGCGGGGGACACGCGCGCATGCTTCCATTCCCACCACCACCATCAGCCTGTGGAAGACCCGGGGATCCTCGAACCAGCCCCAGGTAAGGGGAACTTGCCGACCCCGGCTTAATTCTATTTCCAGCCAATTGTAGAATTGTAGATACAACCAACTAAAAACCAAAACCATTGGCTTTAATGTTTTAATGTTGAGGCCCCGTACAGCTCAGCTGCCACCAGAGGAAAGGCCTCACTGAGGTGGCCTTCCTTCCTGGGGCCCAGCCAGTTGCCTGAGGCCCCACGTGGCTCAGCTGTCGCTGGAAGAAAAGCCTCGCCACGGTGGTGGCCTCCCTCCTTGGGGCCTAGCTCACTAGCTGAGGCCCTGCATGGCAGGCAGCGATGGAGGAAGCCCCACCCCAAAACATCTCCCCAACCCCCGCGAGACCTAGCAAAGCAGCTAGACCTCGCATGCTGCTGCCACTACACTGAAAGCCAGGAGCCAGGACTGGCTCCAAACCCGAGCTGAGACATTCACAAAATTGTGAATATCCCAGCAAAAACTGGGATATGGCAACCCTAGGCCCAGTATGTTTGGTACAAGGTGGAGATTATTGGGGTTTTTCATTCAAAGACAATTAGCCAGTGGGAAGAAACACCTTCACAAACTATGCTTGCTGATACAAGTTGTACCCACAGCATTTGTTTGAGATGGCAATTAATTGCTATTGGGAATCACACATGTATGTGTGTTTAACATAGTTGTCTGGAATTTTATGGATATATCCCTGATTATCATTTCTGACTCACTTTCCTTCGGATCCATAGCTGTTCATGCTTTCCTCAATGGATTCATGGCTAGCTTGTCGAATGGTTCGGCTTGGCATTTCAACTGCCAGGCCAGTTTCGGTGCTCCGCTGGATCGCACCTTTGAGTTTCCGGCCATCTTCTAAAGCAAAGAGGGAAAAATATGTGGGAAGGAGAGAAGGGGGGGGAGAGAAAGAGAAAGAAAGAGATTAGGCAATTAGATGTTGTGTAGAAAATATATAAAAACAAAACATGAATCACATGTATCATAACAGGAAGACTACCACTTGAAAATGAGGAAGCTAGATCAATATTAGAATCTGGAAACTAGGAACAACTTAAAATTTC